ATTAGGCGATGCTGTGGATTATCTAGTATCGTATTTTCCAGAAATAGAAACCAGCCTGGTTTCTTGCCCTTGAGAAGATGGCGAAGTCTGGGTGAGATGTGTTGCCACTCTAGTAGGTATTCGTTATTTAATAATAATTAATAATAATTAATAAAATAATAAATAAATAATATATAATAAATACCAATTTCTTGTAAATATCTATTAAATTTTTTATTACTATTTCAAAATTTAAATACAATTTCTAACAATTTTTGTCTATAAAGAAATTACTTTGTTGAACTTGCTAACAAGATATTATAACTTATTCAAATTATTAAGTAAAGAATATATTTTGATAAAAAGATCTTTACCAAATATACTTTTAATAAATTACTTGACATAATTTTTTTTAATATAACTTTTTCAAATATTTGTGTAGCTTTATTAATTATATGTTCTAAGTTTATTTAAATTCTAACAAGAATATTAGTTGGAGGTGGTAGTGGATGAGTATGAATTCTTTTACAAATTAAAACAATAAATAGTTTTGTTATTATATCTAAAAGAACAAGCTTAATAATTAAATATTATAATTCAATTTAATAATTTTTTCTTTTTTTTTATTTCTTTATTAGATAAATGAAAAAAATGCTAATATAGTATTATTAAAAGTTAGCTATAAATAAAGAATAAATTTATTTGTACAGGATATACACTGTGTGGAGTATACTAAGTATGATAAAATCACATAATACCATAATACATAATCTAAAATTTTGTTATATAAATTTGCAAAGATTGATAACCAATTATACAAGTTTGATACAAAGTATATGAAATAGCAATCAGTATATTGTTTATTTAGTTAGATGATACAATAGATCTGTGAACTATAAATAAGAGTTGTGATTAAAATATGCACATTTTTCTCTTTTGCTTGTTTGTAGTAATCCATAAAAAAGCCTTTGTACAGGTTATTTGTGAAAGTATTAGCTAGTATTTCTCAATTGTTTTCATTAAAAAAAAAGAGCTTAAGTTAGTAAAGAGTAAGAAACCCAGAACAAATAAAATTCTTAAGAGTATACAAAGTAGAATTTTACCTTATTAAATAAATATCAGGTGACTACATCCTTAACTTGACAAACAATACTTCTTGGCATATAGGATTTTCTTGAATTATTAATTTATATTTCTCAATTTTTTTTTATTAAAAAGAAAGAGTTTAAACCAGAACTAATAAAATTATTAAAGATGTTTAAAATAAAACTTACTTTCTTAAATAAATATTAGGTAGCTATACTCTTGGCTTAACAAATAATACTTTTTGGTATATAGATTCTTTTTAAAGTGTTAGTAGATATTTCTCAGTTTTTTTTCATTATATAAGAAGTGTATATATTAGTAAGAGTAAAAAAAACCAAAATTAATAAAATTTAAGGGTAAATAAAAAAAACATACTGGACAAGTATTAGGTATCTATTTTTCCTCTACTAGTTATTTACTTTTTTAATCATTTTGGATATAATTTTTTTATAAAAAGGAATAGCAAATACAATCTCATGTTTGAAATTTAATAGAATATATTTTTTTTGTTTTTGTTATCATAATTTGAATTTCACAATAGAAGTATTTTAATTAGTTTTATATGGAGTTACAAATTGTTAATTCTATTCCTTTTCCAACTACTTTATTTTTGACCAAAAAATCACAACAACCTGCAAGTTCAATGATTTCAAATGCTGAAATTGAGTATATTGATAATGAGTCTAATAAAAATCAGATAATGAATTTGAAGAGCAATTGGATCTTTATAAGAGCAAGTATTTATAATTCTGTAACTTTTAAAAATTAGATAACAAATTTTACAAGATTGTATTATAGGACAAATTTTTTAAACAGTTGAAGAAGCTTATATTATAGTTGAATCTTTTGCTTAATCAAACAAATTTGACATTCAAAAAGGACATGTTGAAGAAGATGCAATTAAGTATGAAGTTTCAAGAACATTCTTATGTCAACATGCTGAAAAATTGTCAAATGAATATAAATTGTATAAAACTGAAAAATCTAATTTATATTGAACTGATTATAAATGAAAAGTCAATATATATTAGAGCAAACATTTAAATAGGTATTATATATCAACTTTTACTAGCATTTATAATGGCTATACTTTTGATTTAACTACTATACAATTTATTTCAAAAATCAAAAGCTTACTAATAAAATATTAAAAGACATTGAATTTTATACTATATTTAAAAAGATTAATACAAGTACATAGTATCAACTTCTATTAAAAAAGTATAAATTCCTAATTCATCATAGTAATTTATATAATATAATTACAAAGGCTAAAAAAATAGTTTCTTTTAGTGATAATGATACTTTACAATTGCTATCTAAATTATTTAAAAAAAAAAAAGAAGAATTTAAGATAGTTCATTGAATGATATTTTAATCTATATACAAATACTTTAATATATCTTTTTTAGATATTTCTAAACTAACTTGACCTTCGGGCTCAATATAGTAATATTGTTTTTCATGATAACATGGCAAAGACAAATATTTATTATATGCCACTTTCACTTTTCATCATTATAAATAATATCTATAAATCTTGCCTTATTGTATAGATAGTATTAGATGATAAAACAGCAGAGTCATATTTCTAGTTACTTAAAATTCTAATAAAAGCTACTAATAATCTTTATCCAATCACTATTGTAACAAATGCAAATCTAGTTATAACTCTTGCTATTTCTACTATTTTACTATTAACTCAACATTTTTACTATATATAGCATATTAGCCAAAATCTACAAAAAAATCTCTAAGACAAATTAGATCCTAATTGAGAATCATTTATCAAGGACTTCTACAAAGCTTGTAACATATTAGATCTACAAATTTTTCAAAGCTTTACAAAAATATTATTCAAAAACAGTTTAGTATCCTAATAAGGTTTTATATCCTAATATAAGGACACGAGCAAAGGCTTATATATTTTATCACTTCACTACTAGTATACAAGCAAAAAGTTATATCAAGTTAATTAATTCACATATTAAATCTATCATGTATTATGGCTATATAATGCTATACAATTTATTCAATTCACTTGTCATTATGAAATCAATCATGGCTTATTTTACTATGTAACTAAAATAACTCTGAGTCTTTATATTTATATCAAATAAATAATCATTATTACTATATTAATATATAGTATTTATTTTACTAATAATTATTTAAGTGACATTTATTAACAGGCTTAATTTATTAATAATTAGTTTATTAACAAGTTAAATACTCTTAAATAGTAAAAATATTTTTGGTAAAAAAGACTATTGGTAAACTAGCTATAATACAGTGGCCAAGCATATTATTGTAGACACTTTTTAAAAATTTATATAAAGCTAAATAAATAAAATATAAAGCTAAAAATAAAATCATAAAAAACTCTTTCCACTGATCCTCACGACCAAAACTGGAGCAGAAGAAAACTCGAAATTAAGCACAATCGTACTAAGATAATATCAGTTATAGCCTTAAAGAAAAAGAACAAGCAGAGAAAAACAACTATAGCTTCATAGAACGGCTTGGCTCTCATCAAACTTTAGCTAG